TTTTTTAACCTTAAACCGCATAAACACATTTCATTACACCAAATACACAAAATAATGTTCTTTTTAGCAACATCATATGACCCCTTTAAAATCCTTGTTTACTTCATTACTTTTCTCACTCCAGGAAAAAGGGTGCATACACACAGTCAAGAACATCCGTGCGGTATGCACATATTTACGCCAAGTTTTATTTTTTATAAATCCAGATACGTGCGTGGAAAACAGCGTACGCAACATTTATACATAAGGCCCATGGTCTAGCAGATGGACCAGGATAATTATGGTGTTTACCAGCATAGTTGGTGAAGCTGGTTGGCCATGGACAGTTTACTATGCTAGCCTATCTATTTTCTAAATGCATGTTATAGATCTTATTATAAACAATTAATCCATACACAAACGATAGACTTCTCTCTGGTAACATATGCTGGACTTCTCCAAACAATTAGTCTGTTTAAACCCCGCCCCTAAAAGTTCACATTCAGGCCCAATTTCTCAACATACAATAAACAACTGATGTAAAAAACAAATGCCTGTCCTATATTTTTTTCTTTTTATGATAATTGGTTACACTTAAATGCATGTCACAATACAGAAGAAAAGATCTGTCACTACTTTCATTTCATCCTGACTTCAACACACCTGACTGGGACATCAGCACATTCACATCAAAAACAAAAACAACAACATACTGTATAATAGTGACTAGAAATTTTGATGTTTCCATCAGGATATTAATTCCCTATGCTGGCAACCTACCTCCAAGAGGGCCGATCTTGTTGGTGATGGCGTATCGAAGGATGCGCTCTTCTTTGACGTACATAACAAATATGCGCTCCATTCTCAGTTCCAGCGTCTCCAGTAAGCTGCGGGGCCCGTGAGTGCAGTCCCTGTATGTGATGTTCTGTTTGACCTGGAAAGTGTGGGTCTCTGCTCCATTTTCAGCTGACACGACTGTAAACTCACGCACGGATGTGGAGGTAATCACTGAGAACAGGAAAAAAGGCAAGAGTTTAGAAGAAAGCAATTTACAGCAAACTTTGGGATTTAATTCTAGACCCAAAATCCCACAGGATTTGATTGTTAAGCAACCTCATGTTCAGCAACATGAGAACAGCTTTTATTTAGGGTGCATCAAGATCAGACACTGCTTCTTCTGAAAGGAAGTAGAGGAGACGGGAGACGTCACAAGATCTTTTTTTTTTTCTTTTCCTTTTCATTTTTTATAGCTAAGCCATTCTCCCCAAGCCCATGATTTACACCATTTAAAAGTTTGGGGTTGATAACATTTTATATGTTTTTGAAAAAAAATCGATGCACACCAAGAAATGTATTTGATAAAAAATACAGGGAAACAGTAATATTATAAAAATTTAAATTATTAAAATGTAAAATAATCTTTAGTGTCACATGATCTTTCCGAATTTATTCAAATATGCTGATTCGGTGCTCAAGAAACATTGATTATTATCTATATTGAAAACTGATTTGCTGTTTAATATTTTTAAGGAAACTGTGAAAAGAACAGCATTTATTTGAAACAGAAATCTTTTGTAACATTATAAATGTTTTTACTGTAACTTTTAATCAATTTAGTGCATCATTGCTGAACACAAATATAAATTTTTTTAAAGAAAAATTCTTACTGATCCTTCCTGAACTTCTGAATATTTTTCCTTAATTAATTGGTATATGTGACCCTGGACCACAAAACCAGTTATAAGTAGCACGGGTATATTTGTAACAATAGCCAAAAATACATTGCATGGGTCAAACTTATCGATTTTTCTTTTATGCCATAAATTATTAGAATATTAAGTAAAGATCATGTTCCATGAAGATATTTTGTAAATTTCCTACCGTAAATATATCAAAACTTAAATTTTTATTAGTAATATGCATTGCTAAGGACTTCGTTTGGACAATTTTAAAGGCGATTTTCTCAATTTTTAGATTTTTTTTTTTTTTGCAACCTCAGATTCCAGATTTTCAAATATTTATATCTCGGCCAAATATTGTCCTATCCTAACAAACCATACATCAATGGAAAACGTATTTATTCAGCTCTGATTTGCTTCCATTTAAAAAAATTTACCCTTATGACTGGTTTTGTGGTCCTGGGTCACATATTGTGTAATTAATTAGATTCATTTAAGTTTAATATATTGACAGCCCTGGTAAATATAAAACAGAATATTTAAAAAAAATCAATAAGGAAAAACATTCTGAAACTGTATCAGGGTCATGAAACAATGATGTACAGATATATTTATTCCCCAAATTCTTCCTCCAGAACTTACATGAAGGATAATAATGGTAGGTGTCCTTAAATGGCTCCATCTGCACCGTGGCACCAGGGGGGATGAAGGGAACACTGCCTTGTAAATGAGTGTCCACGTTGAGGTAGTTCTGGGTATCCAAACCCGTAGCTGTCTGGACGATGCTGAGACGCTGGTTACCGGGATAGAAGGTCACATCGGCACGGCGAGTGAATTCGGCACCTGCAAAACAGAAATGTTGGTTTTCAACATGATTAAAGGTCGTTAAAGAGCAGTGTTGTTGCTCACTCATTTTACTGCAAACAAATATCACGAAATAAGATCCAGATGGGGCTGTGACCCTTATAATGGTGCTTGATGAACATTTAGGTGTTTTTCAAAAAGAAAAAACAGGCTTTTTCATACAAAGTGAAAACATATTATATAATGGAGCACCTGACTTAAATTAGGGGAAGTGGTTCAGTACATATCAGTCTAGCAAAGCCCTTGTGGGACTCTATTAGCGAGAACAAAACCTCTAAGCCTAAAATCTCTCAGCAGGAGGCCATATGTTTAACAAACATTCTACACCATAAAAGAAGTAGAAAATGAGAACATGACGGCCTCACCGGTGATACTGAAGCCATTAAGGCTGTTTGGCAGCTCCAGGGCGAAGAGCCAACCAAACAGACCTCCAATGGGGGCCACAGGCATGAGGGCCCAGCCCACTGGCTCTGGGACCTCACTGATGGCAGTGTACGCTCGTCCGTCACCCACCACGATGTAGGCGTGCAGGTCAATACTGTACAGCTGCACTGCTGTGCCACCCACCAGTACAGTCCCTCTGACCTTTCCATTCACACGATGAGGAGCACCTGAGGACAACATGGAGATAAAATCAAAATGTAACTTATAATGATTGATTGCAAGTATGTGGATAGCTAAATAATTCTTTGAGTTGAGAACTAAATTTGAGAGGTTAAAATAAGGATTAAATTAGCTGAAATTCATAAAAAAAACAATATATTGCTGAAGGGATGACGTATTTTTAGGCTAGTTTGGAAGTTAGGTTCCCTTGACAAACAAGTCAATAGGATTTTTCCTTTGGCTTTTGGATTATTTCAAAAAATAAGCTTTGTGACCAACAAAAGTTTATGATTCTCACACGTTTTGTTCATTAAGATAATCTTCATAAATAAACACAACTTTAGGACTCATATTTTAGCCAGAAGCAACAATTTGAAGTTAAAAACACCTTAATGATAGATTTGTCGCTTACAAACATGCAGCTTTACGCTTCACAAGATGTTAATTAATGGACTGGAATCGTGTGGATTACTTGTGGATTAGGTTTTTATCAGCTGTTTGGACTCTCATTCTGACGGCACCCATTCACTGCAGAGGATCCATTAGTGAGCAAGTGATTAATGCAAAATTTCTCCAAATCTGTTTTTCTCCACATCTTGGATGGTACATTTTCAGCAAATTTTAATTTTGGGATGAATTATTCCTTTAAATCTACAAGTAAAAAATCTACAATCTACAAGTTAGAAAGTTTTAGTTATAATATTTAGCAAAAGTGCGAGCTACAGGAAGGCTTTTCTCACATTAAAAAAACTGTATGGCTTTTGAAGACTTCTAGGAATATCGCACAAGTATTACCTTTATGGTAGATTAACAGACTATGCTTTTGCTGTAGGGATGCAATGATTCTGAACTGATACTGAACTCACAACAATACTGATTTCATGATATGATTTTGTGACAATTTTTTTTAACAAAATAAGATTTAAGACTATTTAAAGGGGTCATATGATGCTGCTAAAAAGAACATTATATCTCTTCATATAAACAAACCAAGGCTTTGCCTGTTAGGAGCTTCCATTTAGCATTAGAGGCAACCACTGTATTTAATTTTAAAATCTGAAGCAAAAACAGAATGGTCTGACTTTAGCTCTGTGAAATTATACTACATAAAATATCTGCATAAAACAAAAATGGCAAATGGGCTGAATAAGAACGCAAATTCACTCTCTGACAGCAGGTGGTGCTTATGGAACAGCAGTGATACAGCGTTTCCTTGATTGCAGCTGTAAACAAAGCAGCTGTGCTTATAAACACTAGGGATATTTCACCCAAAAATGAAAATTCTGTCATTAATTACTCACCCTCATGTCGTTCCGAACATGTAAGACCTTCGTTCATCTTCAGAAAACAAATTAAGATATTTTTGATGAATTCCGAGAGCTCTCTGACCCTCCCATAGACAGCAAGGAACCTAACATGATCAAGGTCCAGAAACGTAGTAAGGACATCGTTAAAATAATCTGGCATAATTTTACGAAGCTACGAGAATACTTTTTGTGAAAACAAAAATAATGACTTTATTCATTAATTCGTCTCCTCCGTGTCACTCTGGCACCATATTGGAGAGTATTACATACATAAACAATGTATGCAACATATGCACGCGGATATGTTGTTTACGTTCAGTTCAAAGCGTAAATAACGCATGTACAGTGCTGCTGACACAGAACAGCATACGTTGTTTACGTATGTGATAGTCTCCAAAATGGCGCCAGGGTGACGAAGGTCTTACGGGTTTGGAACGACATGAGGGTGAGTAATTAATGACAGAATTTTCATTTTTGGGTGAACTATC